CTCTCTCTCTCTCTCTCTCTCTCTCTCTCTCTCTCTCTCTCTTTCTGTCTCTCACTCACTCCCTCTCTTTCTCTCCCCCTCGCTCCCCCCCTCGTAGAATTTAATTTCCGAATAGCCTCCTTTAAAAAGGATTGCAAGTGATGCTACCAATCTATTGGTTGAAACGCTTATTTATTTAATTTATTTTTTAAGACAAGGCGCCCCATCAACCGACGGAGGAAGAAAGAAGGCCTGGATGAAGGTGCGAAGGAGCAGGTGAGCTGGGACAAAAATTGCAAGTGTCTTCCGCCTAGACTGAAGACGCCCTCCAGCCGAAGTGGATCTTATGCCTAACTGTTGGAAAATAACAGCCTCCCATTGAACGCAACGGGGCTTGGTCCCTGGTTAAGGACTGCGGTTCAGGAGCACACACGCACACCCCAATTTCAGAGCTTACATTTCCTCACGAAATAAAAGCGGCTTCTGAATTTTTGGACTGGGACCGAAGTGTTCCCCGCTTTCACATGAAGTGGGCCCCTTTCAAAAAGCATCCTTCACATTAAGAAATCCACCACTGGAAGCCAGGTTTTTTAATTGTTCCCGGCGCGGGTGACGGTGCTGGGAAAAACCCGGCCGAACCCAAGGAGTTTTCCAGCCGACAGGATTTCGGCAGAGGTCCTCTTGCAAAGCGGTGACAAACGCAGGCCTACAAGCTGCTTAGTCGATGAGGGTTAACCGTGGGTGGGCAGTTGGGGGCTGCTTGGGGAAAAAATTGGAGCGACAAATAGGGGAAAGGGAGTTTATCGGCTTGTCTTCTAAGACAAGGACCCAAATAAAGGCCGACGTTCCGAACTTCTCAGATGGTTCCTCGGCTACTGCCGAGCGCAGCCGGCTGTTCCTCTCTCCAAGAGCAGCGGGACCCGGCGTGGCTGCCGTAGTGTGAGGCTGGAGATGGCAGTGGCAAACCGTTGAGAGAGACAGAGATTTATTTATATTTTTGCTGGGGCGGAGGGGAGCAAAGATAGCCAGACGGGGACGCACCGGCGTGTTTTGCTGCTCGCCTGCCTCCTGGGGGACTCGGGGGGGGGGGGCAATCCGGCTCCAGGAAAGCCTTCCCANAAGTTTATACCACTTTGAAAAGCTTTACTGAATTGCTTGATTGTTACTTTGATTTATGATAATGAGGGTGTGCTTGGATTAGTCTGTATTATCCAAGCACTTTCTTTCCTTTAAGTAAATTTCACTGAACAAGAACTCACTTGTCCCGGACAGGCTGAAAGGGAGATTTTAACTGCTGAGGCGGAGAGTCGGTTCTTGCTACATTTTCTCTTTCTGCAGAAGAAAAGAAAGAAAGAAAGAAAGAAAGAAAGAAAGAAAGAAAGAAAGAAAGAAAGAAAGAGAAAAGAAAAGAACTTTAGCAAAACTTACTTACATGGGCATACAGAGCCAAAGATAAATAATGTACACAATGAACACTCTTATTCTACCATCTCACCCATTGTATGAATGACTAATATATGAATCTAGAAACCCAATTCAAGTTTTGGGTCTACCAGGAAATTTCCAGTGACTTTAACCAAAATGTACTGTATCACACTTCCCCATCAGCTGTGAGAACAGAATAGCATTGCCTTATTTTTTGCAATTCTACAATGAGATGCATTTTTTTTTTCTTTTATTAAGCTAACACTTTTATCAGTAAAAAGCAATGGAAAGTTTTGGTTTTTGACAGGTCTCGCAATTTCCCCCCCCTCCAAAGCCAGCTCAGTATGTTTTATGCACACTTCATGTTTTTCAGAAGGGAAAAGACTTAATAATCCCATTAATGCAGAATAATTTGGACTATCACAGTTTTCTTAGCCCTTTAAAAAAAAAGAAAAAGAAAATCCACTTGGACTGCGCATGACAGCTTCCCTGTCATAGGACAATCCACTAGTTATGACTCTATTCAATAACGACCATGGGGGAGAGACCAAAAATTACAGCATGGGGGTGTCTGAATACCAGTTAGTGCGACTTGTCCCCAAGTGTAATGGGCTGTCAAAATAACCTTGAGAGACAGAAGGAACAGTTTCAACCTGAAGCACAGTCTGAAAAGAGAAATCTGGAATTGGGTGGGAGAGAGGTGCTCAAAATTGTCACTCTCCAGTTCTCTGGGACATAAAGGCAGGGGAGAGGGTGGGTATTGTAAACTTATAATAAAGGTAGTATTAGTATTCTTGGTTTTGGTTTCCTGGTCTGGGCTACCTTGGAAGGTTTACACCCATCCCCTTGCAAGAAGCCTTTTTTATCTGCTTGTTTCAAACATTACCTATGTGTTTGGGGCTGGTCCTCTCAGAAGGCTTGTCAGTGCTGAGTGCCGTTAACACTGAAGGCTGCTGTTGGGCTTGAAGGTGATGGTTGTGATGGGCAGCTTGGTGGTGGCTAACTCCCAAAAAGGACCTCACATTCAACAAGGAGCTTTGGGTGAGAAACGCCCCATTTGTCCAGTTGTGAAACTTGCCGATCTGGCAGGTGTAAAGTCCATGGCTGGGGAGGAAAGCCGGATGCTGGAGCTGGGGGGAAGTGTGGTTCACCTGGGCAGGAGGTGAAGGAGGAGCTGGCTTGCTGAGGGCCCCATCTGGACTGGTTGCAGTCTCTGCCAAAGACCAGATCTTGGGCTTGTTGTGCATTGGGCCTTGCAGGGGGTTTTGTCTGCTGGGACTCAAGATCCTAGTAGGGTTGTCTGAGGCCTCCTTGCCCAACGGCAAGGGTTCCTTGGGTTTAAGTCCTTCAGAGCCCGGTATTGGCAAGATCTTATTTTTCTCCAAATGGACGTCTTCTCTCCTTTGCCTCAAGAGCTCAACTTTCTCTTCCTCTTCCTCGTTACTCTGCTCGCCGTCGTTCTCATCAATTTTGTCAATGTCAATACTCTCCAGGTCAATCTCTTCATCGTCTTCGTTCTTCTCAGGGTCCCCCTCATTGTCGCTTCCGAAGAGATTGCCGTCATCTTGGTCTTTGCTCCGGGATCCCCACGTGACCTTGTTCTCCTTCTTCAGCCTCCTCCTGGCGTTGGCGAACCAGGTGGAGACCTGCGTGAGGGTCATCTTGGTGATGATGGCCAGCATGATCTTCTCACCCTTGGTTGGGTAGGGGTTCTTGCGGTGCTCATTCAGCCAGGCTTTTAAGGTGCTGGTGCTCTCTCGGGTGGCATTCTTAGGCCTTCCTGGGTCCCCATACTGGAATTGCCCATAAGGATAATAACCAGGAGTGGTGTGAGCAGCAAAGGTAGCAGGGTGAACTCCAGGATTGTCCTTCAGTTCATACTGGGAACCCTGGAAGACATTCAGAGAAGCAGGGGAGGGGGTGGGGGAGAACGAGGAAGTTATTCAATCATTTCCTTTCCACAAGCTCTTCCCAGACTCTTCAGCAAAGCTTTTCCAAATTATTTTTCTTTCAGATTAAAAGAATGGGAAATGTGTCCCATCCCTCCCGCTCGCTCCCTCCCTCCTTCCCTTCAGTCTCCATCAAATCCCACCATCATCTTATTTATTTTTTTTGAAAACCAGATTCAGGAAACAATATTTATTGTGCTATTAAAAATAAGCAGACATCCTGAAAAGAATGTCGACCCACATCGAGAAAGATAATATCAGGGCATCGTCCTAGGCTGCTGGGGCATGCCCAGTGCAACAGACGGCCATGGAAGATTCTTGCTCAGCCCTGGCAGCCGTTTAAAGAGAGATAGGGAAGAGAATGGAGTTGCGCTGAATCTCCCTTTTGGTCTACCCCAGAAGGACCATGATAAGGCACAAATCAATCCCGCCAGAGTTAAACACGCGGAAGTCACGCTAATTTTGGCAGAGGAAAAAATTAAGCAAGTGCATAAATCTCTCTCGTAGGGGCTTAGCGGTACGATACGGCATGCCTACTCACAAGTAATTTCCCAGAGTTCAAGGGCCTTACTCACAGGAAATTGGATATAAGATTTTGGCTTACAATAGGATGTCTTTGTCCCTCCATTTCAGCCACTTCGTGCTTTTAGCAGCGTAAAAATAGTGCCTGCAGAGGGATTCCCTTTCTACATTCATACAGTTATTTCTCAGAAATTATTTCATCTACGTGGAAGAAAACATTTTCCCCCACCCCCAACTTTGAACGTCTTTAGTGAAAGTGATTTATTTTCAATCAATATATTATCAGCAGTAAAGCAGGGAAATCAAATTAGCCCATCAAGCCTTTGGTATATAACATTTTATCTTCCAACAACCTCATTAGGCCTCATTATTACAACCAATTGCACATTTAAACAAGTACACAGGAACACACATGGTTTTATGACTATTCCTCAAGCTTCTGCGGGGGAAGGGACTTGTTCAAGCCTAGGCTCTGGTTTCTAGGAATCAAGTGTACCCCCCAAAAGAAACAAGACTTTTTATTCCCTTTTGCTTCCTATCAGTGTCAAAGTTCTCCTCCTCCTCCCTCCCTCCCCCCCCCTCTGTATGTCTCTGTGTGTGTTTTAAATAGAAGATCAAGCTTTTAAAAATGTTTATAAACCATCCAAGTGGAAAAGGCAAAGATTCCTTTGCAAAGACATTGATTCCACCACCCCCCCCAAGCAGGTTTGCAAAAGCGATTGTGAAAAGAAAATGCAGACATACAGTATATGAAAAAGCAAAATGTAATTTTTTAATAATAACTCTATTAGAGCTGACTCACTATATTCCCTTATCTCACGGAGCTATTTTTGTTCTGGTTGTCGAAATGATAAATTCTGTATTCCCCCGTTGGGAATTCTTTTGAAGTAGCCACTTGAAAATCATTACTGCTTCTACTTATCATTTACTGGTGGACAGTAAGTGAAAAAAGATAGTCTTTTTCAGCCGCTGCCTGCTGTATACCGTTGAATAAAGATGCTTTTAAAAGGATTTTTTTTATTTTTACAAAAATGTAGTTCATTTTTTTCAGTCAAAGCAAAGTATGACATTATCTTACTAAATATATTTACTTCTTTCTGCTCAATTTAAATAATCCTTAGACACCACAAACCTGATAACGGATTTAAAAAAAAACAATAACGGGCAAGCTTATACATATAATTGTTTCATATCCGTTAGCATTTAAGTGCGGATCACGAAACTGTGAAACCATAAAGCTAAAAGAGAAAGTCCGTTTCTTTTGGAAACAACCTAAAAATGTCCACATACAAGCAATCAAAGAGGAAAGACAACAAGCAGCTAATTTGATTTAAATTAAATTCTAGATATANACATTGGCCTCATGGATGACCCACGGGAACATCACATTTGGTAGCAGAGGATGGTTACTTCGCAAATGCACAGGAAATAATGTTTTCCCCAGGATGGCTACTGTTGCCTGAACATGGCAGATGCAGGGATTCCCCCAAAACATTGGCAGGGGGCAAAAACATGTAAAGAAAATGATGACACGTCCAAATGGATTTGGCATGTTGGAATTTGTTTTGAATTTTGAGCACTCCAAAAGGAAAAAAAAAAAAAGCTCATCCACTGGCATAGCTGGAGATCTTTCTATTGGTCAATTGCTGTAATTTTAGGGAGGGGGGGGTCTGTCTCTTGTTTGTTTCACAGAATGGTTAGTTTTGAGTTTCCATCAGGACTTGAGCTGTTCACAGAGCTCTATTGATTATTGCATGTTGTTGTTTTCCCTAGAAGAGAACACAATTTGGTCAACTAACCAGAATATTTGGCTCTGTTACTTTTATCTCTTTCATAATGTTTGCATCAAGAAAGATGCATATACATAGCAGCAACTCTCCTGTCTGAATCAGTCTGGTAGCAAATTACCAAAATTTATTAGACAGTATAAGCTTTTATGAACTAGAGCATACTTCATCAGAGACATAAAATGGGCATAGTTTTGGCTCCCATGGAGCACCGTGCAGCTTCTCTTATAATGTTCTGAGTTGTGAATAACAAACAGTGACTCCTGTGGCAAGGAATTCTCATTCATCTGCCAGTTTCTGGGTTTTATATATATGGTACAATTGCCAGCTTCCAATTACATTTCTCCAAAGCTGTTTTAGCACTGTTCATGTTTACTAGAACTATGCTAAAGTGTATGAAAAGATCCTCCAGTGCTACTTCACATTCTTCTTACCGAGTTTTATAGTAGTTGAAATTGAAGTCTTATTAGAAGTAGCTTGACTGTGTACATTCCATATACAAAGAACAGATATTTCTATTACAGGAATAAGTTACTATGGTACATTCCTTGGTATATTTTCAGAAATAAATCTTAACTTTTTAAAGTCTGAGTAGCTGAAGAAGTAAAACTACAGCAATCTATGCCATTGAGAACAATTTTAATCAGCAATAGTCCGATTAACAGTCTCAGGAATTATGAGTTAAGGACACCTGATTTGGAGAGTTTAAAAATGATTTTGATGCATTAAGACCCAGAATGAAAAATAATACTATAAAATGTGGTTTGTGGGTTTGTTTATAAAATTCCAAATTTTTCAACATCCCAAAATTCATTCAAAATTTGTGTTTCAACATATAGTCTTCAGCTTAACTGAGTGATATTAACCTCCAAATAAATCGTATTTAGTTCAAGTTCAAAGTTCAAAGCCTTTATTGTTATCGTACATTAGGTATACAATTAGGTAGAGGTTTAGCCTCTACTGGTGCAGTCCATCAAGACAACATGCCCGGAAACACAAAAATATTGGACAAAAATTTGGAAATGGGTGCAAGAAATTACAGGAGAACGGATAAAATACAAACCTGAAATCTGTCTACTGGGAATAATCAAAGGGAAATTAAGTAAATTTTAACACATCTGCTAACTACAGCTAGAATAGCATTTGCCCAATGCTGGAAACAAAATAATACCCCCTNTTGAGCCGGTGAGATTTGAACCGCTGAACTGCAGATAACAGTCAGCTGAAGTGGCCTGTAGTACTGCACCCTAACCACTGCGCCACCTCGGCTCTTTTGAAGAGCTCTATGAGAATTCTTAGTTCAATTGTGTCCAAGATCAGGAAGATCCAGTTGTGATATTAAATCAATATGTATCATGATTCATGTAAAATGAACCATGAAGCATTCAGCCTGGGTTTTTCTTTTTTATTATCTTGCAGTGTCTTTCCTTTAAATATTTGTTTTTATATTTCAACTTTAGGATGAAATTAAAATAACTGTTTAAGGTGTACCCATATGTTGGTTGTTCAGGAAAGTCTAATCACTTTTGCTTTCAACACAAAGTTCTAAGCCATATCCTAAATTACTTTAAAGCTTTGTATGGTTGACATGTGTCATATCGACCTATCTGAGGAAGACAAATTCAGTATCCCTCTTATGTGGATTAATAAATAGCTTTGTTTTTTCCTAAATCTAGAACTTTAAAATATACATTTCATAACAGGCATTTTAGCTATGCAAACATTTATATTACAATGGTGTTCTAAAAGTGATACGTATTACAATTTAATATGATGAGAGATGGATTATCTCTGCTTCCAATTGAGGCAAATATATGGTCTTTAAAATGATAAAGCAAGTGTACCCTACATTTAAGGTAAATGTAATCCCAAGTATTAAAGAACCCAAACTGAAGATTCTGAGTCTCATCCAAAGTAATTTTAATTCAAAGCTATAAGGACTTTAAATTTGTGGCGTTTTTAAATTTTATACTGTAATCTTAAGATCCAACAAATGGACCAAGATGAAACACACACACACACACACAAACACACACACACACACACACATTTAATGCATACAGCATACTTTTTTTTAATCCTACAACTGAACAGATTAACTCTTTTCATAATATTAATTAATTTAGGCAAGTCATATTGTAATTGCTTCTATTGAATAAAATCTGACCTTTACTCTAAATCACTCAGAGGTCTACCCATTGATTAAGATTTTTTCTTCTGCCCACTCCTGATTATGTACAACATTCTTTACAAGACATTCTACAATCAGCAGATCCACTGGAAGTGGGCTAGTTCACTACTCAGTACTCTTTCTAGTATGTTGTTATCGTCTACATATTGGAAAAGTATAAGAAGAATTGCTATTTAAAGGTCACCGAGTCAACAATATGATTTAAAAAATTTACCCGGCATTATTCAAGAGATTAGATTATACTGTTCACATTTCCACTACAATCAGGATGTATTTGACTTTCTTTAAATGGTGTCTTTCATCCCANTATCCCTCTCTTCCTATCTTCTTCTCTCCTCTACTTCCGACTCTTCTACATCCTGTCTTCCCTCCATCATTTTCTACTCTACTTCCCCTTCCTTTTTCCTTCTCCTCTCTCCCCTTACCGGCTGCCATTCTTAAGGAAGGACTAGAACCCAGATTGCCACACTCCTAATCCCACG